CTTATGACCCAGCAGATCTAATGGTGCTGGAAGTGTCAGCAGCAGAGAGGATGATGTTCAGAGCCCATGACAGACCCTGGAGGGGAATCACAGCAAAGGCCCTTGGGATTTCAGGACAAAGTCCTGCCATACCCATGCAGGTAACTACTACCTTCCCTCTGAGAAAGTTACTGGCTTGCTGTCAGGCTTAGTAGAGACTGAACACTTAACTGTGGGTCACCAAGTCACCATGCAACCTGAGTGAGCCATCATGAACTGGTGGGCGTGCCAAGCCATAAAGTCGATGGGCACAGCAACACCCCAACATCAGATGCAACTGGTGATCGTGCCTGAGCAGGCCCTGAAGGCATGAGAAAGCCACATGAAAGTGGCCCAGATGCCCACGGTCCCCAGTTCTCTCCCCTAGCTGGACTGTACCTGTGGCCTGGTGGGCATTCCTTCTGATCAGCTGGCAGAGGAAGAGAAGATGGGGCCTGGCTTGCAGACGGGTCTGCCAAACATGCACACACAGCCCCCAGGGGGACAGCCCTCCCTGGGACATCTACAAAGGCCAGCAGTGATGGAGAATCTTCCCGCTGGACAGGACTTTGGGCAGTGCACCTGACCACTCACTTTGCTCAGGAACGGCCAGACACATGATTATACATTCATACTGGCCTGTGGCTCAGCTGGAAGGTCAGGGACTTGGAAGGAGCATGACTGGAAAACCAGTAACAAGGAGATTTGGAAAAGAGGTGTGCAGACAGCCCACTTTGAATGGGAAAAAAATGTGAACTGATTTGCATCCCATCAAAAGGAGACCTCAACAGAGGAGTCTTATCATAGTAAAGTGGACAGATGACCTTGTCCTAGTCTCACAGAACCCGTCAGCCTCCTCCCAGAGCCACCTGCCATCACCCAGGGAGTGCATAAAAGAGTGGCCACGGTGCCCAGGACGGAGGTCACGTGCAGCCACAGCAACACAGACATACACTCTCCACAGCCGACCTGGCTCCTGTCACCACTGCCTTCAGCCTCACGCTGAACTACACCCTGGATGCTCCGCTGTGACAGTCTGGCCCCAATAATGCTTGTAATTTTAAAAAAACAAAGAAGCAAGCATATCCAAGGCTGACGAATCTTCAACCCCAAGACAATCTAAAGAAACAAACACTCCTTGGATGTCATCCACAAGATTACACACAACTATGAATTCAGAAGAGAAAGATAAATATGAAGCTTTATGAAATTCACTACAAGCAGCTCTACCAAAAAACCAGAAGCAGAAACAGAGTGAGGCTCATGAAACCCTCGAGAACAACGTCCAGCACTGGCAGCTAGGACTTCCTAAGGCCTACCATGAGAATGTATCTAGAAGCAACATCGTAACTTAGGGGCTCCTCCTCTAGCTCCCCAACTTTCAGCCAACGTGGTCACTGGAGCTTAAAGCTACTGTTTACAGCTTACCCACTCATTCAACACACGTTTACTGGGCTACCACTATGTGGGAAGCACTTTTCTAAGCCCTAATTCATAAACAAAATACAATGCCTGAGCTTACACCTCTTACAGTATAACCAGAAGGCAACCAATACAAATACATTTACTTCCAACGTTAAGACTCCAGCATAAATACATAGCACATAGTGTACTGATAGTTCTTACTTTCAGTCCATTAAAAGAATAAACAAATGGCTATGATTAGATTATCTAAAGGTCATTAAGTATATCGTGCATTTTCTGTTTGGTAAAACTGGAAACAAAAGCCAGTTCCCTCATAATTCTGGTTAGCCTGGATTGAGACCTGCACTTCTGGGAAAACACCTGGAGCCCAATCTTCAAAATGCATGCACCACAGAACCGACAGCCTTATGGAAAGCAAGGGCCAAAGGGAAGAGCCTTCAACAAGCATTTCAGACAACATGTGCCAAAAACATTTGCAAATCATATATTATCTAACTACTTGTTAGTAACAAACTGTTATCTGAAAGTAATTCACCAGAAAAATCACTGATAAATACATTTTTGAACCTGCCATTGAGAAATACAACTCACCTTACTTTCCAGGTTGTTTCCTACCTTTCATAGTGACTTTCCAGTAGATGGCTTACTTTTTTGTATCAATTTCAGTAAAGACCTTAATTTGCTTGAGTTCAATTGCCAAGCAACAAAAATGGAGTAATTTCTCTTTATTCACTTGACAACTAGTCCTAACCTTACTGACTTCATCTTGTCTTCAGGCATCAGTGACTCCATTTGTTTCCAGTTCCAAAGGTGACAGAAAGCACAAGGCCAGGGTAAAATACCCGACAGACTAAAGTGTCAAAATTCTTCTTGTCAACAACCAGGATAAGCAGTATTAACAGACAACTGGGAAGGAGACATTTGCAATTAACCTGACAGTTAATACTTAAAAACTTGCAAAAATGGACACAAGAAATACAGGGGGGGCAATTTACTGAAGAATAAATACAAATGACCAATAAATGTGCTTTGTAAATGCCTACCCTCACTAGTAATTAAAGAAATGTAAATTTAAAAGGGGAAATTTCTCATCTATTGAATTCCATTAGGGTTCCATTTCATTATTTATTCAGTTATGTGTTTACATGCACACACACAATATCCAAGAGTTTAGGTAACAGTATTCACAGTAATTCTCTGGATTGTGAGATTGTAATACTAATTTTCTTCACTACAAATTTTGCTTTCCAAATTTTCTACAGCAAATATGTATTTCTTTAAACACAAACACAAAGGGGTTAGAATAAAGGTAGTTATCTGTATAAACTCCAAATGGATTAAACAGTTATGTGCAAACAAAACCATTTTTTAAACAACAAGAAAAAAAGGAGTATTTGTCACATCTCATGAAGGGAGATCATCTTCTAAATACAAAAACAATTACAGAAACCAAAGAAAGAAAAAGACTGGACACATAAAAAGCAAAAAGCCTGCAACCAAAAACACAAAATTAAAAAGTAAAATAACCAGAAAAACATATTTACAAAAATCTGATAAACAGCTGATGCGTTTCACACATAAAGAGATAACATAATTCAATATGGAAAAAAGTGGGCAAAAGACAATGAAACACATAAAAAAGATATATGTATTAGATCTTTGTATATAATTTACAAATTTAAATGTTCTACCTCATTAAACATGTCCAGAAAATCACAGAGCCAAGATTGAAATTTAGATCTATTTTGCTTCAAAGCAATATACCACATTGCCAAAATAAGTGATTATTGTTTTAACCACATTAATTTTTAAATCAATTTTCACTCCAATCCCAAAGAAGGGCAATGCCAAAAAATGCTGAGAGCTACCATACAACTGTGTTCATTTCACATGCTAGCAAAGTAATGTTCAAAATCCTTCAAGCTAGGCTTCAACAGTACATGACAAGAGAACTTCCTGATATATACGCTGGATTTTGAAAAGGCAGAGGAACCAGAGATGTAATTGCCAACATTCACTGGATCATAGAGAAAGCAAGGAAATTCCAGGAAAACATCTACTTCTGCTTCATTGACTACGCTAAAGCTTTTGACTGTGTGGATCACAACAAAATGGGAAAATCCTAAAAGAGATGGGAGTACCAGGTCACCTTACTTACCTCCTGAGAAACCTATATGCAGGTTAAGAGGCAACAGTTAGAGCCAGATATGAAACAATGGACTGGTTCAAAATTGGGAAAGGAGTACATCAAGGCTATATGTTGTCACTGTGTTTATTTTACTTATATGCAGAGTACATCATGCAAAATGCTGGTCTGGATGAAGCACAAGCTGAAATCAAGATTGCCAGGAGAAATAACAATAACCTCAGATATGCAGATGATACCACTCTTATGGAAGAAAGCCAAGAAGAACAAAGAGCCTTCTGATGAAGGTAAAAGAGGAGAGTGAAAAAGCTGGTGCTTAAAATTCAACATTCAGAAAACAAAGATCATTGCACCTGGTCCCATCACTTTGTGACAAACAGAAGGGGGAAAAGTGGAAACAGTGACAGATTTTATCTTCTTGGGCTCCAGAATCACAGTGGACAATGACTGCAGCTCCTTGGCAGGAAAGCTATGACCAACCTAGACAGCATATTAAAGAGCAGAGACACCACTTTGCTGACAAAGGTCCACATAGTCAAAGCTATGGTTTTTCCAGTAGTCATGTATGTATGTAAGAGTTGGACCACAAAGAAGGCTGAGTGCCAAAGAATTGATGCTTCTGAATTGTGGTGCTGGAGAAGACTTTTGAGAGTCGCTTGGACAGCAAGGAGAGCAAACCAGTTAATACTAAAGGAAATCCACCCTGAACATTCATTGAGAGGACTGATGCTGAAGCTGAAACTCCAATACTTCGGTCACCCGATGAGAAGAACTGACTCAATGCAAAAGACCCTGATGCTGGGAAAGATTGAAGGCAGGAGAAGGGGGCGACAAAGGATGAAATGGTTGGATGGCATCATCGACTCAACTGACATAAGTATGAGCAAACTCCAGGAGATAGTGGACGACAGAGGAGACTGATGTACTGCAGGCCATGGGGTCGCAAAGAGTTAGACAAGACTTGCCAACTGAACAACAACAAAAACAAATTTTAAAGTCTGTCCTTGACAGAATAGTTTTTCCCCCTTCTATCACACATTCTGAAATGACTAAAGAAATTAACAGCAAATAAGTAAAATAGAAACTATGGTAAGTTTTTCTTTTTTAAGGTCTGAAATGGAGGTTGAGTTCTGACATATCCAGATAAATCAAAATTCTCTTGCTAAATAATTAAATGAAAATGTATCTATCAAAATCACAGTATAAATGCTGCTTCTTATAGAAAAGCTTTTCACAACTAAGAATCAGACTAGTAAGTAAAATCTGATTTTCTGATTTTATGAAGGACTCAAATAGTTAACTAAAGGAAGACCCATATTTTTATGGAAAATAAGAAAAGGAAAAATTTTAAATATAGTACAGTATAAAATAAAAACACTAATTGTGATTATATTAAGACATATATACTAACCATGAATCAGGGAGCCATTCAGCCACTGAATATAGTAGTTTTGAGGAAAAGAAAGCAGGATTTCATTGCTGATTATTGAGAAGGGTAGAAGCAAGACTGCTCCAGCCGACACTGCCAGAGTGAACGTGCTCAGAAACAACCTGGAAGAGGAGAGTCAACGTCACCAGTGACTGGAAAAAGCAAAGACTACAGAAGTCATTCAAAAAGAACAGAACCAAACTCTTCAAGTTTTTTAATCCAAAAAGAATTAATGTGCATTTCATGGAGTATATGCAGTTGGAAAACAAATGATATACATATGGTCCCAGAAGTTAAACTAGACCAACTCTAAAACTTACTCTGTGACAAGACCATTAAGTCTACCAAGTCGGCCTAAAGCAGACATAGACTGGAGACAGAGTACCTCACACATTTTGTGAAGAATAAATTGTAGCCTCATTCTTCTTTTAAATTTAAGTATTTGTTTCACAATTGTATTTAATTAACAATGCTGGCAATATATGCTAAGAGCAAGGCAACAACTGTTTCAGATGAAAAAAATACTTGTGAAAACAGTACGAAAAACGACTTAAGGGTTATTTCTGGAAAAAAAACTTACAAAGCCATTGGTCTACTATCTCTTAAAATAGGTAAAGGTTAAATAAATTTATAATAAATTGTAGGAAACTATTAAACAATATTTAAAAATGATTTTGTCATTTTTAAAAATAATATAGATCAAAATGTGTAATATGGAAAATGTCTAAAATTAAGTTAAAAAGAAAAAGCACAGACAATAAATATAAACCATGCTCTCTCCCATCCTCTTCCCTCAACATGTATATTTTCACACAGGAAAAGAGGTACATTAAAAAAATCTAGCTTAATATATAACAACTCCTTGGAGAGGGCCCATAAGGGGCTTTTACTTTCTCAGTTATACACGTCCAAAATGCTTAAAATTTTATATCTAATTTTTAACGTTTTTTGAAGACTAAAATGGCAAAGGAAAATGGAACCTCCCTCACTAAAATGAGAGATGAAATTTTAATTTAATATCCCTTCCATTAAATTTAATGTAGAATGTGAAAATACATGTAAGAAAATATAAGAAAAAAAAATCATACTAAATGCTCAAAACACATCTAATAGAGTAACTTTGAGGCCAGTGCCATCTTGTGGCAACCAAGAGAAGTGTTTTCCTACTTAAAAGCCAAAGATAACCTCCCCTGTTTAGCAAATCACTGATCAATTTCTTATTGTAGACCATATGATACTTGTCAAAAATACAATGCAACTCAGACACAGGAGAAGGCTTACAAAGTGGTTCTGCTGGACAGGCAGCCTGTTTCCTGGGAAAAGTGGGGACACATCATCCCAGGTGCACTGCCAACTCGGGCACCTACCCCAAGTAACCTCCTGTGACCTGTATCTCTGCCCTCCAACTGTGACGGCCACACTGCTCGTCCCTGACACCCACAGGCCCCGCTCCCAGGTCCTGCACGAGACTCCCAGCCCAGCCCAGCCCAGCCCCCCGAGCTCCCCTGGCCACGACAGGGCCCACACACTGTCAGGCTCACCCGCCTCTTCACAGGGAGCGGGCTCTCAGGCTCCGGGTGTCTGGGCAGCCAGCCCCCTCCCTCGGGGCCCCTCTGTGTCCTCTGCCCCATGAAGCCTTCCGAGCCCCTCTCCCTCTTGGCCCTCAGCACACTGGCCAGCAGCCCAGCTGTAAAGGCCCACCGTGGCTTCCAAGTCTAAAGCTGGGAGGTGTATGTGACGAAGGAGTAAGTGTATGAGGACACGCAAATGTTTTTTAAATCAAAAGTTACCCAGAAATCCTGAATATATAGTCACCATAAATATAACAGTGGACCTTACGTCAAAAACCTTCTAGAAGGTATTGTGACTGGCCTTAGGGATACAAAACAGGGTTATACCATCTGCTGCCCTTGAGTGGCTATGAGAACTATCCATAAAAGGCTGATGTGGCAGAGCTAAATGCCAACAAAGCGTCCTCAAAGTAGGGCCCTGAGTCAAGCTAGAAAATGCAGACATGGTGACTGCTTATACAGCGGCAGAAAAGTGTTCCTCAGAACTGAAGGCAGTTCTAGAAACGTCACCTTCTGAAATGCAGCACACTCTGACAACAGAGCCAACAGGACTTCATGGTGTGGGCTGAGAGAGGTTGAGAGATGACCAGGAGCTTCTGTTGGCTCCTTAAGCAAGCAAATTTCAACAGATAATCAGTCCAGAATTATCCATGTGTTTGCTTACATGTACTTTCTTTAAAAAGCTGCTGTAATACTTTAAAGTTGCTGTAATACTTTAGGTGAATTTTTTCAATATTTCTGCCCAAAGGACAGAATTAAGTTTTGAAAATTCAGGACTCTAGAATTAGAAACACAAGAACTGAACATTAAAATACATACGAAATCCTGTTGACTATGGCATCTTCATCTTCTTGTTCATCTGCAAAAATGTTCAAGGCATTAATATTTTTATCTTCCAACAAAATGCTTCATTAATTTAATAAAACATAAAATATAAACCTGAAGAAGCAGTTTTCCAACTCTAAATCTCACTAAATCAGATAGGATTAAAAAAAAAAAAATCAGATAGGATAGAACATGGTTAAAGAACAAGAAGAGTCTTTTGACTGATGAAAAAATCCAGATTAACAGAACTCCCATATGTAAATTAAAATCTTCCAAATGTTTAGTGCTCAGGGAAATAAAACTCAGTAGAACCTTGGAACCACATTCAGGTTGACTATTAATACAAGGTCAGTGAAACTGCTAATGAATGAAATTTTCTGATTGATAATGTGTGTTAGTAGCTCAGTTGTGTCCGATTCTTTGTGACCCCCTGGACGGTGGCCTGCCAGGCACCTCTGTCCATGGGATTCTCCAAGCAAGAACACTGTAGTGGGTTGCCATTCCCTGCTCCAGGGGATCTCCTGACCCAGGGATCAAACCCAGGTCTCCTGCATTGCAAGCAAATTCTTCACCATCTGAGGCACCAAGGAAGCCCCTGGCTGATAATAGCCAAAAAAAATTTACTATAAAATTAAAATTCAGAATCTCAGAACTGACACACTTTTCTGTAATCTGAGCCTATTGTTAGTAATGGTAAGAATAAGGACTTTACCCTAAACCACGCTGCACACCACTGCCTCGACACGGCATCATCTTGTTCCAGGTACAGACAGAAATACACCACACTCTGTGTCTTTTTCAAGAAGCAGATGGCCCTTGCTCTGGTGCTTCCTCACCCTACCCTCTCCCTCTCTCATGGCGCTTGGCCATCTTTTTAGTCCTCCCACATAATCTTACCAGCTAAGGAAACTATGATCCAATTACAAAAATATTACACAACACCCCAGCCCTTCTTTCTCCTCAGTACCTCACTGGGGTTGTCCTCAAAGGCTCTCTGTGTGGGTCTCTGGAATTCTGAGTGCCCACCTGCTTCAGTGACAATGGCATATTTGGGCCTTTCTCTTAGTCCAAACTCTATTCTTAATTACTGGCTGCCCAAAATACTTCTACAACCAGAGAGACCACAAAGTACCATTGTCACAATTAATTTTTATATTGTTGCACCTACATCTAATCAACCACAACACCTTGAAGAGCATTTTAACAGCTTCACGTCCATTTCAGCTCTATCACCAACACTCTACCACCCGGCCCAGGGTCTGCATCACTCTTCTGTGACTGCTCTAAACACACCTAGTAAGTCTCCTGTTTTCCCGCTCATCATCCCCTCATTTCCCCTAAAACAACGCACTGTCCATTCATTCCCTCTCTCTCTTGTTCAATGCACATAGTCTATGAAGCCAGATGCCAAGATATCTTTTAAAGCAGCTAAGATACTGTCTTGGATCCCAGGTCTTCAAAATTTTGAGAGATTAAGGAATCCAAAGAGTATTTCAGTGCAGTCACAAAGCCAAGCAGTGCACTACAGCAAGAACTATTTCCTGATTTCTTTAAAAATTCTTAAAGTTTAATATGATAACATAAGGAATCTTTAATATACGAAACCCTTAAATATTCACATGGCACCTACTATTAGCCTAGCATCACAAGTGGAAATCTTGTGATTTCAAAGAAGTAGCTCATATTTAACAGAAGTCAGTAAAGTAACTACTTTAGTTATTTTATAAAAAAAAAACAATGGTTAGTTACTTACAAAACTCTGGCATACAAATCTGTGAATAAGTCAGCACAAAATTCATTTTAAAAAAAGATATAATGGTCCCCCTGGTGAGATAAGGATACATATGAAAAAATAAAACAATAACATAACACATAATTGAATATTAAATGGTATTATGCATGCATGCTAAGTCACGTCAGTCACATGGGACTCTTCGTGACCCTGTGGACTGTAGCCCACCAGAATCCCCTTGGCTCCTCTGTCCAAAGGTATTCTCCAGACAAGAATACTGGAGTGCCACGCCCTCCTCCAGGGGATCTTCCTGACCCAGGGATCGAATCTTATCTCTTTACATGTCTGCATTGGCAGGCGGGTTCTTTACCACTAGCACCATCAGGGTATTATGGAGACTCTAAATTCTATACCACTTTAGAAAGCAACAGTATTCTGGTAGTGAGAGAAAGAATGGGGTGGGGGTGATGGGGGTGAGTATGTTCAAATTCAGAGCCGAGGAACCAAACATCCTCATAAAGTCTGGAATTTCCCAGACACTGAAGAGCCCTGGACTATTCTTAGTTGAATATAAGAAGGAGGATAAACAAGGGCTCAGGGCTAAGAAGTAGACCTGGGTCTGACTACTGACCCTGCAAGTAGTCAGATTCCCTGGAGGTTATTTTTAGTGCTCTTAGTATCAGGCAACTGCGTGCTTCAATCCCAGGCACAATGAGCACACTAACCGTGCTGATGCGTACCGTGTGGCCACGGAACAAGTCTAGGCCACATGGCATTAGAGGCGGAGTGTTCATCACAGTGTGTCTGCTCACCTGATTTTCTCTTGTATCTTGTGATGATGAAATAGGAGACAATGTAGAGAATGGCAAAAAGAAGGAAACAGATCTGAAACAAAACAAATTTAACACATTTACATTTTTTGCATACCTTTTTAGGTAAAACAAAACACATCTTTGGCATTTATAAGGAAAAATAATTTAATCTGTTACATAGTAAAAATTTTAGCTAATAAAAAGTATTATGAAGTATTAACTTATACAAGCTAGTCAGGTCAGTTTAAAACCATTCCCAAAAAAAAGCCCAATGGACATTTTTCTTTTCATAACTTGACCAAATTGTTTTAAAATCATGGAACTACTAAGAACGAGACCATCACTGACAATTTTGAAAAGCAAACTCATGAGATGCTACTATCCCCACCAAATATTAAAATACACTCTAAAGTTTCAATAACATTTAAAGAGTATGCTGGCACTGAAACCTAACAGATCAAAGATTTAGATTCAATTATAGAAAACTCTGGACTCCCTGGTGTTACAGTGGATAAGAATCTGCCTGCCAACACGACATGGTTCAATACCTGGTCCAGAAGACACAGGTGCCATGGAGCCACTAAGCCCATACAGCCTCGCTCTGAGCCCAGGAGCTGCAAGTACTGAGCCTGAGCGCTAGTCTGCGAGGCACAGCCGCTGAGCCCATATGCTGCAGTCACTGAAGCCCGAGTGCCTGGAGCCCATGCCCCACCAGAGAACCCACCACAGTGAAAAGCCCATCTGCCACAACGAAGAGCAGCCCCTGCTCACCACAACTAGAGAAAGCCCACACAGAGCAACAAAGAGCCCCACGCACAACCAAAATCCAAAAAGAATTTTTTTTAATTTTTGTAAATTTACATACCATGGTTATACAAACAAGAGGCCTCACAAATCAATGTGGGGCTGAGGATTATTCAATAATTATACCACATATCAAAACAAACAGCAGGTGCACAAAAAGTTTTTCAATATTGAAGTCCTTTAATTTCTATCTTATCTCGGGTATGGCAGGCAAAAAAGATGGGTGAAGGAATGGGAGACCTCATGACAGTTAACGACCAAATATGCTTGAAATAAAGGCTTAATGCAACTGTGGACCATACCAGAAATATTTCGAAGACTCTCAAATGAAACCATTGCAGGGGATGATAAAGCCGAGAGATCTCCCCTGTGCATGGATTTCTGAAGAAGGGCTGGTGGCCATAAGACGGAGAACGACCTTGGACTAGGCAGTAAATAGCCACTGCGCAGGGTCGTGATGTGATCTGACACACTGCAAAGGGTTTAGTCCAGTCACAGTGTGGAAACTAGACTAGGAGGGGGAGATGACAGGGGCAGGGAGAACAACCAGTCACAGTGTGGAAAGTAGACTAGGAGGGGAGATGACAGGGGCATGGAGAACAACCAGTCACAGTGTGGAAACTAGACTAGGAGGGGAGATGACAGGGGCAGGGAGAACAACCAGTCACAGTGTGGAAAGTAGACTAGGAGGGGAGATGACAGGGGCAGGGAGAACAACCAGTCACAGTGTGGAAACTAGACTAGGAGGGGGAGATGACAGGGGCAGGGAGAACCACCAGTCACAGTGTGGAAAGTAGACTAGGAGGGGAGATGACAGGGGCAGGGAGAACAACCAGTCACAGTGTGGAAACTAGACTAGGAGGGGGAGATGACAGGGGCAGGGAGAACAACCAGTCACAGTGTGGAAAGTAGACTAGGAGGGGAGATGACAGGGGCAGGGAGAACAACCAGTCACAGTGTGGAAAGTAGACTAGGAGGGGAAGTGACAGGGGAAGGGAGAACAACCAGTCACAGTGTGGAAACTAGACTAGGAGGGGGGATGACAGGGGCAGGGAGAACAACCAGTCACAGTGTGGAAAGTAGACTAGGAGGGGAAGTGACAGGAGCAGGGAGAACAACCAGTCACAGTGTGGAAAGTAGACTAGGAGGGGAAGTGACAGGAGCAGGGAGAACAACCAGTCACAGTGTGGAAAGTAGACTAGGAGGGGGGATGACAGGGGCAGGGAGAACAACCAGTCACAGTGTGGAAAGTAGACTAGGAGGGGAAGTGACAGGAGCAGGGAGAACAACCAGTCACAGTGTGGAAAGTAGACTAGGAGGGGAAGTGACAGGAGCAGGGAGAACAACCAGTCACAGTGTGGAAAGTAGACTAGGAGGGGAAGTGACAGGAGCAGGGAGAACAACCAGTCACAGTGTGGAAAGTAGACTAGGAGGGGAAGTGACAGGAGCAGGGAGAACAACCAGTCAGTGTGGAAACTAGACTAGGAGGGGTGATGACAGGGGCGGGGAGAACAACCAGTCACAGTGTGGAAACTAGACTAGGAGGGGGGATGACAGGGGCAGGGAGAACAACCAGTCACAGTGTGGAAAGTAGACTAGGAGGGGAAGTGACAGGAGCAGGGAGAACAACCAGTCACAGTGTGGAAACTAGACTAGGAGGGGGAGATGACAGGGGAAGGGAGAACAACCAGTCACAGTGTGGAAAGTAGACTAGGAGGGGAAGTGACAGGAGCAGGGAGAACCACCAGTCACAGTGTGGAAACTAGACTAGGAGGGGAAGTGACTGGAGCAGGGAGAACAACCAGTCACAGTGTGGAAAGTAGACTAGGAGGGGTGATGACAGGGGCAGGGAGAACAACCAGTCACAGTGTGGAAACTAGACTAGGAGGGGAAGTGACAGGGGCAGGGAGAACAACCAGTCACAGTGTGGAAACTAGACTAGGAGGGGGGATGACAGGGGCAGGGAGAACAACCAGTCACAGTGTGGAAAGTAGACTAGGAGGGGAAGTGACAGGAGCAGGGAGAACAACCAGTCACAGTGTGGAAACTAGACTAGGAGGGGTGATGACAGGGGCGGGGAGAACAACCAGTCAGTGTGGAAAGTAGACTAGGAGGGGAGATGACAGGGGCAGGGAGAACAACCAGTCACAGTGTGGAAACTAGACTAGGAGGGGGGATGACAGGCGCAGGGAGAACAACCAGTCACAGTGTGGAAAGTAGACTAGGAGGGGAGATGACAGGGGCAGGGAGAACAACCAGTCACAGTGTGGAAACTAGACTAGGAGGGGAAGTGACAGGGGCAGGGAGAACAACCAGTCACAGTGTGGAAACTAGACTAGGAGGGGGGATGACAGGGGCAGGGAGAACAACCAGTCACAGTGTGGAAAGTAGACTAGGAGGGGAAGTGACAGGAGCAGGGAGAACAACCAGTCACAGTGTGGAAAGTAGACTAGGAGGGGAAGTGACAGGAGCAGGGAGAACAACCAGTCACAGTGTGGAAAGTAGACTAGGAGGGGAAGTGACAGGAGCAGGGAGAACAACCAGTCACAGTGTGGAAACTAGACTAGGAGGGGTGATGACAGGGGCGGGGAGAACAACCAGTCACAGTGTGGAAAGTAGACTAGGAGGGGAGATGACAGGGGCAGGGAGAACAACCAGTCACAGTGTGGAAACTAGACTAGGAGGGGGGATGACAGGGGCAGGGAGAACAACCAGTCACAGTGTGGAAAGTAGACTAGGAGGGGAGATGACAGGGGCAGGGAGAACAACCAGTCACAGTGTGGAAACTAGACTAGGAGGGGAAGTGACAGGGGCAGGGAGAACAACCCGTCACAGTGTGGAAACTAGACTAGGAGGGGGGATGACAGGGGCAGGGAGAACAACCAGTCACAGTGTGGAAAGTAGACTAGGAGGGGAAGTGACAGGAGCAGGGAGAACAACCAGTCACAGTGTGGAAAGTAGACTAGGAGGGGAAGTGACAGGAGCAGGGAGAACAACCAGTCACAGTGTGGAAAGTAGACTAGGAGGGGAAGTGACAGGAGCAGGGAGAACAACCAGTCACAGTGTGGAAACTAGACTAGGAGGGGGAGATGACAGGGGAAGGGAGAACAACCAGTCACAGTGTGGAAAGTAGACTAGGAGGGGAAGTGACAGGAGCAGGGAGAACCACCAGTCACACTGTGGAAACTAGACTAGGAGGGGAAGTGACTGGAGCAGGGAGAACAACCAGTCACAGTGTGGAAACTAGACTAGGAGGGGTGATGACAGGGGCAGGGAGAACAACCAGTCACAGTGTGGAAACTAGACTAGGAGGGGGGATGACAGGGGCAGGGAGAACAACCAGTCACAGTGTGGAAAGTAGACTAGGAGGGGAAGTGACAGGAGCAGGGAGAACAACCAGTCACAGTGTGGAAACTAGACTAGGAGGGGTGATGACAGGGGCGGGGAGAACAACCAGTCACAGTGTGGAAACTAGACTAGGAGGGGGGATGACAGGGGCAGGGAGAACAACCAGTCACAGTGTGGAAAGTAGACTAGGAGGGGAAGTGACAGGAGCAGGGAGAACAACCAGTCACAGTGTGGAAACTAGACTAGGAGGGGGAGATGACAGGGGAAGGGAGAACAACCAGTCACAGTGTGGAAAGTAGACTAGGAGGGGAAGTGACAGGAGCAGGGAGAACCACCAGTCACAGTGTGGAAACTAGACTAGGAGGGGAAGTGACTGGAGCAGGGAGAACAACCAGTCACAGTGTGGAAACTAGACTAGGAGGGGTGATGACAGGGGCAGGGAGAACAACCAGTCACAGTGTGGAAACTAGACTAGGAGGGGGGATGACAGGGGCAGGGAGAACAACCAGTCACAGTGTGGAAAGTAGACTAGGAGGGGAAGTGACAGGGGCAGGGAGAACAACCAGTCACAGTGTGGAAAGTAGACTAGGAGGGGGGATGACAGGGGCAGGGAGAACAACCAGTCACAGTGTGGAAAGTAGACTAGGAGGGGAAGTGACAGGGGCAGGGAGAACAACCCGTCACAGTGTGGAAACTAGACTAGGAGGGGGGATGACAGGGGCAGGGAGAACAACCAGTCACAGTGTGGAAACAGACTAGGAGGGGAAGTGACAGGAGCAGGGAGAACAACCAGTCACAGTGTGGAAACTAGACTAGGAGGGGTGGTGACAGGGGCAGGGAGAACAACCAGTCACAGTGTGGAAACTAGACTAGGAGGGGAAGTGACAGGAGCAGGGAGAACAACCAGTCACAGTGTGGAAA